TTTTTGAGAAATAAATCATTTAGTAAATTTGGACCGATATATTTTTTAATGATAAGAATTTGAAAAATCTCCACTATCGATTAAATAATATGCAAAAATTTACACAAATTAAAAAATTTTTTCTCCTACACATTGTTTCTTCCAGTTTTAATCTTTTCATTTTTCAATTTTTTCTTGCAATATTTTCGTCTGACAGATTTGCCATTTTATTTTGATATGGAGAATTTTTAAAAATTTGGATTAAATTGAACTGTTTACTCGTATGTTCATGAATGGGGATCGATAAATGGAATTTTGCATTGAGACATTTTATGAGTACGTCATTGTTGAAAAATCATACATTTACATTTCAGTATCTCAACAAACGATAGTAATAAGAGTTTCTCGAGAGCAGAGTCAGAGTGTAAATTGAGTCACAAATCACCGCCAGGCACAATTATTACGCATTTCAAATCATAAATTGAATGTATCCAAAAATTTCAAATCTCTTTTGACGGACAACTTTCTCCTCTCTTCTTTATATTCGTATTCAACGAAAAATTTTTTTGACAAAAAAAAAAAAATTGAAATTTTGAATTAGTTTCGTATTCAAGTTAAATTTTTTTTGAGTTAAATTAACAAGAAAATGCAATTTCAAATTAATTAATTAATTTTTAAGCTATTTTTTTCTGCATTTTAATCGGATTCAAATATAGTTTGATATGTATGCGAGGAAAAGAGATCTTGAAATGTTTTCATCTATTGCTAGAATGTAATTTAGAAATGAATTTGTATTTTAACTTAAAATTTGATTATCACATGCAACTAAATGCTATATCGTTTACATTTTACTAATTTGGATATGGCTGAAGGTCAGATGGATGGCACATTTTATGTAACCATCCTGTCCGTTCCGATGATGTCAAAACCGGTATTTAAGAACTCTCAGTGATGCCGAGATATTGAATAGACAATTATTGGGCGAAAGATTATAAATATGTCAATGCTTTTTGACTTCAAATTTCAAGCTAATGTTGAATTTCGAATTAGTATTCATTATTTTCGATATTCCCTTTTTTTTTTCAAAATAGTTTTGCTTAAAAAAAGTAAAATGAAAAATATGAAATCGATTGCAACAAATAATTGTTTTGTTTATATTATTAACTTACAATATTATATATTTTGTTGAACTCTAAAAAAAATTGAATATTCAGTAATGAAATATATCAGTGCAATATCAAAACGCGTTTTTTTTTGAACTGAAATATGAATAATCTTCAAAGTATCGACTACATACTAGAAAAAAGCAATCAATATTGCTATTATTTAACATTGAAATTATTCCTCGAGAATAACTATGCAATAGTTAATGTTCATCTGAAACGTTTATACTATTTCTCAAGTAGATTTTTTGCTACAAAAAAAAAAAAACTGAGTACATGGATCAAAAGGTTGCAAAATATACTTTTTGAAAAATTTCCCGACTTTTCTCAGGTAGATTATTCATGCAATTATATAATCTTTTGTAAACTTCCATTGCTTATCTTTTAAAAGATATTTGTCAATATTCATCTCATTTATGAAATAGCCAAAAATGTTACAATTCTGTTTCCTCTCTCTTAGACGAATAAAAATATTTCTCGAAAACGGAACATTTACGAATTTTACACCAATAGAACTTGAAATGTCTTTATTGTCTAATATTGCAAAAACATTTGCATTATTTTCAAATTTCCTGCTATTATTTGTTGGTATTTTTTAATGATATCGAGTATTTATTTTAATTTTTATTGCTTCTTATTGTTACAGTATTAATGATTATCATTTATTGTTATTGTTAATAATGCTATTGTTATTTGATTATCTGTGCAAAATATTTCTTTCAGTGATCAAAAATTTTTATCATAATTGAAAAAAGATATTTATTTTAGAAAATGAATGAAATTCAAACTATTTTTTTTTTTCTTTCTGTTTCAGAAAAAATTATACTGTGAATGATGATCAATAACGTTAGTTAAAGCAGACATTGAACAGATTGATTGGTGAGATCAAATACGCCCTTCCTGTCAACAATTACTGTAAACTGATGCTTTCCAAATATGTATGTGTGTGTATGTGTGTGTGTGTGTGTGTATGTG